TGATCTATAAGAACTGAGACTAGCCACATTAGAAATGGCCAATAGGTGTGATGAATGAAAATATTTTTCGTTCAGTGGTAAAGATGTTACTGGTCCCACAGGACCACGACACAAAACGATTGATTGAAAAAAAGATTAAAAGTTTTTTTCTTCTGACAGTGAAGATGTCTCAAATCACCCAAGACCAAAACATAAAATAGTTTGTTGAACTACAATAAAAATCAACAAATTATTAATGCACCATACCTTTACTTTGCATTATTCTGAGGCAAGGATACTTTTATATTTCTATATTCTAGTAAGCGTCATGGATAATATAACAGTGATGACTTTCAATACCATTTAACAAAGTTTGTGCCAGTGCATTAATAGTTTGTTGATTTTTATTGTAGTTCAACAAACAATTTTATGTCTCGGTCTTGGGTGATTTGAGACATCTTCACTGTCAGAAGAAAAAACTTTTAATCTTTCTTTCAATGAATCGTTTCATGTGGTGGTCTTTACCACTGACTTAAAAATATTTTCATTCATCACACCTATTGGCCATGTCTAATGTGGCTATTCTGACTTTAGATCATTTTAACTTACATATATTCAAAGTAACATGGAATAAGTCTTATATTTAAATATTAATATTTGTCACAATGTCCTTAGAAGGTATAGAGGGTGATTTGATGTTTCCCAGTTGCCGTTGGATCCATGGGGTCGACATCTGACCACTCTTGCTCTCCTTGAGTCCACTATGTTGGGACCTCGGTCCATGCGGTTTCATCCCGGATGTCCATATTTTACAATTGTTCTGATCAATATTGATTTTCTGTAATTATCATTATAGCAATGACATAAATGGTACTGACCAATGTTTATATATGCATATTATCACTCCTTTTTCTTTGGGCTCATTGTAAACTCTCTTTGTATCTATGTTCCCTGAAGAAGATCAAAAACGTGGAATGATCGAAACGCGTTGGTGTAACCTCCTCCCTTTTATGGGTGGTTTTTCATATTGTGAAGAAAGATTTCTTGCAATATTTGTCAGAGCGTGTTTTAAAGATTGTTTTTTTGCAAGTATAAAGATTATGTATTCTCATGAGTATGTCTTTGTAATAAAGTTTGTTCCTTTCTAAAGAAAGGTCTTTGGTTATATCAGCAGTTCAATAGCTTGCTGCATGAAAGTCCTATAGGGTTTTTTTTCTCTCATACATCTAGTAAGGATGAACAGCCAGATACTCAACTTTTTGATAATGACTTCAGGGGACATTTATTTTTGTTTTTGTTTTTTGAATAAAGGACTTGTCAAAAACTGGCTTTGTTTTTACTCACTTTTAACACTTTTTTTGGTGAATGAGTGGGGGGGAGGGGTTGGGATCTGGGAGCCTCAATGTTAAGTAGGGCTTCCAGATTCCGATAAGCCCCCCACTTGCAGACCCCCACAACCACTACCCAGGGTTGTGGGGAATAGGCCCTTGTCCCCATCAACATCAAAGCCCCCCATGTTGAAGGCACTTGGCCTGGTATGGTTTGGGGGGGTCCTCGCTCGCCCCCCCCCCCCCTTTCCTGGCCTGCAAGGCTGCATGCTCAGATAAGGGTCTGGTATGGATTTTTGGGGGGACCCCCATGCTATTTTTAAAAAGAATTTGGCATGGGTTTTCCCTTAACCACTTCAAGTCCGGACACTTTTACCCCCTTCCTGTCCAGGCCAATTTTCAGCTTTCAGTGCTATCACACTTTGAATGACAATTGCGTGGTCATGCAACACTGTACTTGTATGAATGTTTTAGCATTTTTTTGAGACAGATAAAACTTTATTTTGGTGGTATTTATTCACCACTGGGATTTTTTTTTGCTATATAAATTAAAAAGTTCAAAAATTTTGAAAAAAGAAGTGTTTTTCTTATAAAATTTTGCAAATAATTAATCTTTCTTCATAAATCTTGGCCAAAATGTATTCATCTATCTTTTTAGTAAAAAAGAAATAACCCAAATTAGTTTATAACCAAACATAATTTAAAAAAAAATGTTTTTATATTTTTATTTTTATCTTTTTATGTTATTATTTATGGTTTTTTTTTTTAATATACCATCACCCTAGCATAAAGGCTGTAAAAGCAATCATTTCTCCTTCTCTCTGGCTGCATTCTTGCAGCCATTGAGAAATACTGTGAGAGTTGTGAATGGTCACAGCTTGTCACATGGTACAAAGCTGTTGTGAATAGCATTGTACCATGTGACCTCTGTGATCATTCACAGATTTCACACATAGTAAGCAATGATGTCAGAAAATGACATCTTGTTTACTAGTGTTCCTGTGATCACTTATTGGCCAATCAGTAATCACATGAATCGGGACCTCACACAGGGCCTGGTGTGGATTGGGGGATGCCGTTTATTTTTTCAAATAATTGCTGACAATTCTTTTGTTTACATTCAGCTGTCAATGGGGACACTTTTTTCACTGTTTTTGTTTTCAGCTCCTAGTGTACATGGAGCATTAAAGCTATTTGAAAGGTTAATTTTTTTTTAGAAAATAACAAACATGCATGCTATACTTACCTGCTGTGTGCAGTGGTTTTGCACAGAGCAGCCTAGATTCTCCTCTTCTTGGGTCCCCCGCAGGGTCTCCTGGCCCCTCCCACCTGCCGGGTGCCCCCACAGCAAGCAGCTTGCTATGGGGGCACCCGGACGCTGCTCTGTGTGTCATTTAACACATGGAGCTGCAGCTTGGCCTTGCCCTTTCTCTGTCCTCATTGGCTGACTGGCTTTGATTGACAGAAGTGGAAGCCATTGGCTCCCACTTGCTGTCTCTGCCAATGAGGAGGCAGAGACCTGGGACAGCCAAGGCTGTTCTTCACATTGCTGGTTCGCAAAGGGGCTCAGGTAAGTATTGGGGGGGGCTGGGGGGCACTGCTGCACACAGAATGTTTTTTACCTTCATGCATGTAAAAAACCTTCATCCTTCACACCCACTTTAAAGAAAGCAAAACAAAATTTTCCATAAATTGTATTGAGAATTAAGTTGAACATATAAAAATAAACAAAGTGGTAACATTATTATACAAATCTCCAAACAGCATAGTCCAACCAGATAGGCAGATGAAATATCTCAAATATATCAAATACCATACACAAGAGAGAAAGTCACTGTGAATATGGCAAATCTGCAACCGGGTTGAAATTACTAGGGGAAGAGGTCAGCAACTGTAGAGCAAAGTGCACATTATAGTTCTACAAACAGAGAAAGGATGAGGTAACAATTGGAGATATCCTCTTGGATTTTTCTTTTTAATCCTCCCTCTCCCTCCATTTTTTCTTCTGTCCTCTTGGAAAAAAATTGTAAAGTACTTTCGAAGACATTCATTAAAATGGTCATTGAATGTACTGAGAATTTTCATACAAATGTTCATGGCCATTTTATGTTTGGAGCCCTCTGTAGTAGCTGTCACGTGTGTTTCTTTATGTGCACTGTAATCCACAATGTTTGCCGACAAGGAGATTTACATGGATGTTTATTTTGTTATGCTTAGTGCTTGTTTATAAATACTTAGTGCTTAAAATATAAGGGCTCGTGTACACGGGGCGTTTGAAATACTCTTCTAACCGCTGGAAACTGACTGCTAGAAAACGTAGGTTAAAAATGTCAGCTTAGCCGCGTTTACCTACCACGTTTATGCGCGTTTGCGTTTTAGAAGCGTTTTTAAAAGATAACCTCAGGAAACCCTCCCAAATGCCCAGAATGCACTGAGAAATAGTAAATAATTAACTATTTCAGACAATTTGTGAGAGATATAGCAGAGAGAGCAGTATGTGTTGAGAATACCTGTCTTTTCTGGTTGTATTCACTATGGATCCCATCATGGTGCACGTTCTACCATTTTTTCCTTCATGCGAAACCTGAAACTGACTGCGCTGGTGTACTAGGTCCATTTGAATACATGGAAAATGCTGTGCATGCATTTTTGATGAAGAAAAATGTCACGGGACAGCATCTGAATATGGACCAGCCACAAAACGCGTCTAAACGCAAATGTACATAAATGCTTTTACACGTATTTACAAGCATTTGGCGTTTGAAACGCTGCTAAACTCTACTGAGCGTGATTTTTTTGCTTTCAAGAAAATGCCTGTAAACCACTGTAAATGACTATGTGTACATGGACACATAGAAAAAACATAAAGGAGAGTTCAGGGGCTCCTGAAAAAAACACACAACTGCTCCTAAACGTCAGTTTAGCAGCTGCAGTGTACATGAGCCCTTACATGTAAGTTTCCTACATGCTCTTTAGGCTATATTTAAATATATGTGGGTGTAGGAGTTTGTGTAAATCACAGGCATTCCCGCACACAAATGCAGAGAAAACGAGCAGGGATGCCATTAACTCTTATGACACCCCAAATCTCTGTGCGGCTGCATTTTAAAAAAGGTGCAAGAAACACATGCCTGCATAGTTGTGAATGAGCGTGAGCCGTATAGATGTGGACATGAGCAGGTATGTGTGTGCATGTTCCCGAATGCAGACAGTTACATTTGGGGACAGGTTATTGATTTATTTTTTTCATACTGGTGATTAGGAGTTGGCTATAAAGTGGACCTTTACTCCAGAATACCTATTTGCCCTATTGTATTCTTTCCTCCTCCTCCACCTGCAGATAAGGTATAATAAAGCTTGCCTGTAGGTAAATTGAATATCTCCTAAAACTGCACTGTTTAGGAGATATTCGCTTGCTTGGCAGCCAGTGACGTCACTGGGATATGCGCTCTGAATGAATGACGTACCCGTGCCATTCCTTCAGAGTTCTGTGCCACTGTCACGTCTCGCAAGCGCATGGGCAGAAGTGACGCCATCGCGGCTTGCCCATCCAAGTAGGCGCAGACCACTAACCCAGAAGGAAGACCAGATGAAGATGGAAGCCTCTTCAGTGGTGACATGGCACTGCTGGAGGCTTTTGTTTTTTAAGTACTGTATTTTTCTCTCCATAAGATCCACTTTTTCTGGTCATCTCCTGTAGTATGTCCACAGTCTCTGGTCATCTCCTGTACTATGTCTGCAGTCTCTGGTCATCTCCTGAACTATGTCCGCAGTCTCTGGTCATCTCTTGTACTATGTCTGCAATCTCTGGTCATCTCCTGTACTGTATCCGCAGTCTCTGGTCATCCCCTGTACTATGTCCGCAGTCTCTGATCATCTCCTGTACTATGTCCGCAGGCTCTGGTCATCTCCTGTAGTATGTCCGCAGTCTCTGGTCATCCCCTGTACTACAGTCAGGTCCATAAATATTGGGACATGGACACAATTCTAACATTTTTGGCTCTATACACCACCACAATGGATTTGAAATGAAACGAACAAGATGTGCTTTAACTGCAGACTGTCAGCTTTAATTTGATGGTATTTACATCCAAATCAGGTGAACGGTGTAGGAATTACAACAGTTTGCATATGTGCTTCCTCCCTTTTTAAGGGACCAAAAGTAATGGGACAATTGGCTTCTCAGCTGTTCCATGGTCAAGTGTGTGTTATTCCCTCATTATCCCAATTCCAATGAGCAGATAAAAGGTCCAGAGTTCATTTCAAGTGTGTTATTTGCATTTGGAATCTGTTGCTGTCAACTCTCAAGATGAGATCCAAAGAGCTGTCACTATCAGTGAAGCAAGCCATCATTAGGCTGAAAAAACAAAACACAAACCCATCAGAGAGATAGCAAAAACATTAGGCGTGGCCAAAACAACTGTTTGGAACATTCTTAAAGAGAAGGAACACACTGGTGAGCTCAGCAACACCAAAAGACCCGGAAGACCACGGAAAACAACTGTGGTGGATGACCGAAGAATTCTTTCCCTGGTGAAGAAAACACCCTTCACAACAGTTGGCCAGATCAAGAACACTCTCCAGGAGGTAGGTGTATGTGTGTCAAAGTCACCAATCAAGAGAAGACTTCACCAGAGTGAATACAGAGGGTTCACCACAAGATGTAAACCATTGGTGAGCCTCAAAAACAGGAAGGCCAGATTAGAGTTTGCCAAACGACATCTAAAAAAGCCTTCACAGTTCTGGAACAACATCCTATGGACAGATGAGACCGAGATCAACTTGTACCAGAGTGATGGGAAGAGAAGAGTATGGAGAAGGAAAGGAACTGCTCATGATCCTAAGCATACCACCTCATCAGTGAAGCATGGTGGTGGTAGTGTCATGGCGTGGGCATGTATGGCTGCCAATGGAACTGCTTCTCTTGTTTATTGATGATGTGACTGCTGACAAAAGCAGCAGGATGAATTGTGAAGTGTTTCGGGAATATTATCTGCTCATATTCAGCCAAATGCTTCACAACTCATTGGACGCCGCTTCACAGTGCAGATGGACAATGACCCAAAGCATACTGCAAAAGCAACCAAAGAGTTTTTTTAAGGGAAAGAAGTGGAATGTTATGCAATGGCCAAGTCAATCACCTGACCTGAATCCGATTGAGCATGCATTTCACTTGCTGAAGACAAAACTGAAGGGAAAATGCCCCAAGAACAAGCAGGAACTGAAGACAGTTGCAGTAGAGGCCTGGCAGAGCATCACCAGGGATGAAACCCAGCGTCTGGTGATGTCTATGCGTTCCAGACTGCAGGCTGTAATTGACTGCAAAGGATTTGCAACCAAGTATTAAAAAGTGAAAGTTTGATTTAGGATTATTATTCTGTCCCATTCCTTTTGGTCCCTTAACAAGTGGGAGGCACATATGCAAACTGTTGTAATTCCTACACCGTTCACCTGATTTGGATGTAAATACCCTCAATTTAAAGCTGACAGTCTGCAGTTAAAGCACATCTTGTTTGTTTCATTTCAAATCCATTGTGGTGGTGTATAGAGCCAAAAATATTAGAATTGTGTCCATGTCCCAATATTTATGGACCTTACTGTATGTCCGCAGTCTCTGGTCATCCCCTGTACTATGTCCGCAGTCTCTGGTCATCCCCTGTACTATGTCCGCAGTCTCTGGTCATCTCCTGTACTATGTCCGCAGTCTCTGGTCATCTCCTGTACTGTGTCCGCAGTCTCTGGTCATCTCCTGTACTGTGTCCGCAGTCTCTGGTCATCCCCTGTACTATGTCCGCAGTCTCTGGTCATCCCCTGTACTATGTCCGCAGTCTCTGGTCATCTCCTGTACTATGTCTGCAGTCTCTGGTCATCTCCTGTACTATGTCTGCAGTCTCTGGTCATCTCCTGTACTGTGTCCGCAGTCTCTGGTCATCTCCTGTACTGTGTCCGCAGTCTCTGTTCATCTCCTGTACTATGTCCGCAGTCTCTGATCCTCTCCTGTACTGTGTCCACCGTCTCTGGTCATCTCCTGTGTTATGTGTGCAGTCTCTGGTCATCTCCTGTGTTATGTCTGCAGTCTCTGCTCATCTCCTGTGCTATGTCTGCAGTCTCTGGTCATTTCCTGTATAATGTCTGCAGTCCATTGGTTCAGAATATTTTTTTTCTTGTTTTCCTCCTCTAAAATCTAGGTGTGTCTTATGGTCAGATGCGTCTTATGGAGTGAAAAATATGGTAAGTTTTTCATAATGTGCTAGTATACAATACATACTAGCACATTATGCCTTTACCTTGCAGGGATAATGTTTTTTTTTCACTTAAGTTTACTACCACTTTAACACAGACTTTCACTCACTTTTACTACTTTATTTCTACTTACTCTTCCTTCCCCTTTCCAACAAATTGCAAAAAAAGAAAAAAATGTTGGAGTATCTTTTCCTGCAGCACTCTTGTCTAGGCTACAATGATATTTCCCCTGCCCAACACCTCTTGGGATGCTCACATCACTCATCCCAGGAGGCTTTGGGCTATGCAGAACACCCTAAACACATGCACTGCAGCATTATCTGGTGACCCATATGAGATACTTGCTTCTCTGATGTCAAAAAGGAAGATGGCATTGCAGAACCAGGAGTGCAACAGCTTTTGGTGGATCACAGTGAGATAGTGCTAGATTTGCGGGGCAGGTGAGTATGCTATTGCAGGTCAACCCAGTGGGCAAGGTAAAGAGGAGGTTAAGATCCGCATGAGAGGATAGACATTTATTTTTAATCTTAAAATGCAATATTTATTTTAGTTTTTTTGTTTTTAATTACTTTTTTTCTATATATGGCCCTGCCCTCCCCCTGCTTCCATTCTCACCTAAGTCATCCTGCTTTGGGTGCCTGCAAGGATTCTACATAAGATATCCCAGGTGGCATCAGCTGAGGCATACAGAAGTAGAGGATAAAAGACCCGGCAGAATGTCATTAGAGGACTGGCTGCAAGAACCCTTCAGAAGCAGTCAGCTCCCTTTGACGTCAGAGGAAGCGGCACTGCACCTGGTATGCAGCATGGAATGGCGGATCTCATTACACCAACAGTGGATTCGCTGAGCACATGGGTATATTTACTATGGACAACCCAATATAAAAGGTGAAATGTAATGAAAAAGAAAATGAAATCGGGGGCAAAGTTCCCTTTTAAAAATAATAGCTCATAAGGTCAGAACATGCACAGCATAATTGTAGACAATGTGATAATCAAAGGCTGCTAAGTGTGCAATCATTATACTGATTACTTTGGAAATGAGCCTATTATGCATGTACGCTCATTATTTCATATTCTTCAAGCATCTATTACTAGGTAATGTTTTTCTAGGCTAGACCTACATTAGGAGCATATGGTGAATGTGTTAAGTTTTAAGTAATTATCTGGTATTTTTTTTGCTAAAGAGAAGCTATCACCTGTTGCATGCAATGAATCACTAAATAAATAAAATCCTATTTTTCTGCTGAGTCGGTGCTTGCCAGGATTAATGCTATAATATAATAATAGTGTCACTCCGGGTGCAGACGTATTAAATAATTGTCTGCAGGATGCTGGCATAGAGAAGAGTGGTCTGATATCAGGTGGGCTCTATGCACTTGCTTGGCTGCACACTACAAAAATGTTCAATGTTTGAAAAAAAAAAAAAAAAAAAAAAAAAAAGTCAAAACTGCTGATATTCCATTGCTGATTACTTGGCAATAGCGGCATGAATAATAACCGTAAAAGCAAGTTCTGCCTCATTTCTGATTCACTTTAAGTGCATTGGCTGAACCACCTGCCGTAGCCTCTTGCATGTATTAGTTTCTAACAGAGCCAACAAATTCCAAAATTGACATTCTCTGCGTCATACTAAATTAGGCTTGTGTTAAAGCTGAACTCTTGGATAAGCAAATGTTGTCTAAATACGAGGTATATGTATTCTTATGTGAATCTAAGCCCAGGTTCACATAACTTCTGCTGCATAATCTTTGTTTTTCAGTGCATTTTTGCAGCACATTTGTGCACGTTTTTATGTGCATTTTTTTTATTGTTTTCATACTTCATGCTTTTTTTTTGTTACATAGTTACATAGTATGGCTGAAAAAAAGACAAAAGTCCATCCAGTTCAACCATTAAAAAAAAAAAAAGTTATAATCCTATACCAACAGTTAATCCAGAGGAAGGCAAAAAAGCCCAGCAAAGCATGTAGGGGACTGGTTGTTAACCTCCCTGGCGGTATTCCCGAGTGTAGCTCGGGGTAAAGTTTCAGTACCACAAACGGTAACTCCGAGCTACACTCGGGCTTACCATACGGCGCTGCTCTGTGATCCCTCAATTTCTTACCTTGTCCTGCGCTCCCGCTATGTCCCTCCAGCAGTGTCCCTGGCAATGTAATCCGGCGGATGCCGGCATCTGTCATCTGGGTTCCGTCCCCTGCGAGTGTCGGGACGTACGGGGTACGTAACGGTGGTAAATTTGAAAATGACAAAAAGTGACATTCACTAAAATCACATAGTAAAACATTACTGTATCAAAGCATTTCACATACATTTTGTCCCTAGTGCTTTGTCCTGTGCCCTGCCTGCATTTTTACTGTTCTTTCTGCCTGGAAACTGAGAAACATCTATGGCGTCCAAAAAGCGTCCCTTTAGGTCAAAAGTGGTTTTAGACCAGCTAGAGAACAGGGATAGTAAATTAGAACCACTTGCAGAATTGAGTGATAATGATTTGTGGGGAAATTCGTCATCAGACACTGAAAACGATTTTGCGACTTTGCTCAGTGATGTGCGAACTTGGCGCTCTATTTCTAATTTCAGTGTTTTTGGTTTGATTATATTATTGAATTACATTTATTATTATTATATTATTATTTTTTATGATTATTTATTAAAATATAATTTATGATTTCGTGTTTCAAATTTTATCATACCCGGGATGTTTACTAGACTCTTCTTCGGACAGATTTCAGTGAGTTATTTCTAAGAATTACAGGCCTACAATAAAAAAAATACATATTTCCATGCAAAAAAATGTACCGCTTTGTGCACAGAAATATGGACATAATCAGACCGCTAGGGAGGTTAAGCACAAAACCCTGCCAATAAAAGCACCAAGAACGTGCCAAAGCAGCATTTATATGCATTTTTCATGCGCTCTCATTGAAGTTTCCAGAGTAAAAAGAAGCACCTACACCTTTTTATATGCGTTTTCTTGGTGGGTGGGCTTTAATGCCGAGTGACTGCATATATGCGTCCTTGCATAAGCACTTTAATGTGCACTTTCTGCACATTCCCAACACAGTAATGAGCGGATATCGGAATACTGATGCATACTAGGGATCAGGAGCTTTCTGATCATGTGACTGACAGGCACAGCAGCCACATGATCAGAATGCCCACCTCCCAGCATTTAGATCCTGTTAAAGGGCCAGGGATATATTTGGAAAGGGGTTAAAGGAGAAGTACAGCCAAAACTCTTTTGACTGTACGTCTCCTGTGGATCACTGGAGTGTAGTTGTTTCTGCATTCCTGTGACCCGGTTTCAGCTGACAGAGGGCTAAGGTCTGCTCTTGGCTGACGTTACTCAGCCAGTCCAGACTGGGGAAAGATTGTGAATATATGATTGGGATCCACCCAGGAACCTGGACCTGCACCCTGGCTCAGCCTCTGTACAATCCGCTGAGATCCTGAGCCAGCCGCTCCCACTCCCTCGACAGCCTAGTGCTCTAGTGAGCACGGGGGGGGGGCAGAGCAAACAGCAGTGACGGCCTTAGAGCTGGTGGGGGATGGTGTTGGATCAATGCTGCATCCACCTAGGTAAGTGTAATTTAAAAAATTCCCAAACTTCTCTTTTTTAAGGGGTTTATTTGTAAACTATTTGCTGTGTCTCAAATATTCACTCAGCGGTCACATATTGCCTAATATGCTTTTTTTTCTATGATTGTCAGCTAGTGGCCAAAATGCAGTACTTTCCTGAACTACCTCAGTGAGGAAAATACCACATTATGGCCACTAGGTGGAATGGACAATTATAGAGAAACATTTATTAGGCAAAATACAGGATTATTCATGACTGCTGAGAAAGTGCCTGAAACTTTAACAAAGAAAGTTTTTTTTTTTACAAATATATCCTTTGGTGGGCATTGTATATTTCCTCCAAATCTGTGCAATAATTTAGTGTGAAACGTTACCTCTGTGCAGGAGCTTCCTGTAATAAAGGCCAGCCATTGCTGTTCTCAGTGCTTGTGTGTGCCCCTGTAGTTTTCTGTAGGCAGCCTGCTAAGTCCCTCCCCTCCCCCCACAGCTCTGGTCTCTGCAGCATGTACAGCAAAGTGGTGATGTCACTGCTACTTTTACAATATAATAACTGGATTTTCAAAGGCAATTGGTGTACACAAAGTGAAGTAATATTCTTTGTGTCTAATAGGTAATATACAGTATTTAAATTATTTTTTTTTTGTGCCCAGAGTTTGGCTTTAATAACATAATTAATATGTAGTACATATTCAGGCTTATTTATTAAAGATATGAAAAGTATACTAACCCTTTAGCTACCAACCAAATTTCAGGTTATTGCAGCAGGTGATCTTTGATTGGCTGCTGTGAGTTATTTTTCTCTCTTAATAAATATTTAAATGGGTTTGATTTTTGAATCTATTTCCGTAATACCATAACAAAGCAGCAGCTGCCTTTTCCATAATATACAATGATAGCTCGTGGAAATTCTTTATGTCTTTTATTATGGAAAACTTGTGAATAGCATATTTTGTATTAAAGTCATTTAATAAAATTCTAAACTTCAAATTCCG